TGGGTGTGGGTGTGGGTGTGGGCGTTGGTGTGGGTGGATGTGGGTGTGGTTGTGGGTGGGCGTGGGTGTGGGTGGATGTGGTTGTGGGTGGGCGTGGGTGTGGATGGTGGGTGTGGGCGTGGGTGTGGGTGGGTGGGCGTGGGTGTGGGTGGGTGTGGGTGGGTGTGGGTGGGGGTGGGTGGGGGTGTGGGTGGGGGTGGGTGTGGGTGTGGGTGTGGGTGTGGGTGTGGATGTGGGTGTGGGTGTGGATGTGGGTGTGGGTGTGGATGTGGGTGTAAGTGTCGGCGTATTACAAAGAACACCCACACCCACACCCACACCCACACCCTCTAGCTCTCCACTTAAGTCACATGCACACCCACACCCACACCATATTCTAGAAATTCCCTGAATTTGACACTGAAAGCTTGTCATAGCCCTTACTATTCAGTATCAATAAATTCCATTTTTGATGGACCTTAATTTTTTATAAAATTTGTTATGAATGGTACTTGAAACTACAGTGTTGCTCCCTTAGAAAAATATTTTTATACACCCTGTACATTGCAACTCTTTAATGGCGAAAGCTTAACAATCCAAATGGAGCTAAAATTTTCTAGGGGAAGCTCGGAAGTTTCTAGAGGGAGCTCAGCTACCGCTAGCTCCACCACTAGTGTGGGTGGGTGTGGGTGTGGGCGGAGTGTGGATGTGGCTATCTTGAGGGTGTTGGTGTGATTGTGGGTGTGAGTATTTCAGTTCATTAGAGGTCGACACTCACAACCACACCCCACAACCACACCCCACAACCACACCCCACAACCACACCGACACCCTCAGGGACCAGTCAAAAAATGAGCTTAATGAAAACATCCTTTAAATAGTGGAAAATAAGTTCTGAGCTTATAAAAAGTTAATAGAAGGCAAAAGGACATAAAACTGTGGAATAAATAAGCAATAAAATTGGTATTTTAATTACACCCATTTTTGACTGTTTGCTGAGGGGGGAACCCCAGGTCAATTTTTTCGAGAATAAAAAATTTCGCAGAAGAACTGTGAAACATATATAAGCTCACTCAGCTTTTAATGATGATTTCAAATATGTTATTAGTTTCGACCAAAAACGTACTTTTTCTGATTGATCTGTGTCAATACTAGTTAAAAACTAGAAAAACTGGTTTCTAAACAAAAGTCACATTGTCTTATTTAACAAAGTTCACTTTAAAGAAAAAACAAAAAGTATATAGTTTTGTAGCCCTTTCTTCGATGTTTCAGAACCAATCAAAAGCCCATTTGGTTTTTATCCCTTTCTCGAGATATTAAGAAAACTGTGAATAGAAGTGATAATATAATTACCTGATTCTCATGTGTATACGAAACAAATTTGACATCGCAACTCAGGAGCAGTTCAACCGTTCGAACTGAAATTTTTACCATAGATAGACTAGAGAACGGATTGTCGGTTGATGTACTTTTCGGTTTAAAATGTCTTTCTACGAAAAAATTCATACAGTGCACTGTTTTACGTATAAATTACCCATTTATGGTAAAAAAGTGAATATCAATATTTTGAGCAAAAATGGGTCTAGATCCTTCAAAAATAGCTTTATTTCTTTATCAAACTATTCCTCGTGAAATTCTGCACAACGAAAGTCATGAATAAAGGGAAACTGACGATGGCCCAAGAATGGCCCTTATGCGCCCCCATTCTTTGTTTTCACAATAACTATATTTAAAAAAATAAGAGAAAAACAGCAATTTTGGATACTTGTCAATTGACCACATGTTCATTGTTTTCAAGTTTTTCTTTCTACAAATGAATATATAGAATGATAGAGAACTTCATCTTGCATTGCAATCTATAATTGCTTTTTTGGAGAAATGAAATTTCGATCACAGTAACAAAATAAAGTCTGTGAAAATCTCGACATGAAGGTGTTTTCATTGCACTCAATTAATTTGATCATGAACAAGTGCTAAATAAAACATAAATATATAAGACGATAGAAAATTTCGCTTGCTTTCAAAATAAGTAATTAATTTTTCAAAAAATGTATTTTTATTGCGACAATATATGAGGAATACAAAATCTAACTATTTTTTTTTCTGATGGTATATAACAAGTAGATAAAACAAGTCCTAAGTAAATAAGTTTTTACCACCATAAATGTAAATCATTCCAAATATATTTAATAGAGTAATTGCTAAGTAAATTGTCTAATTTAATTAAATCGTCTACTTCTTCTAACCAATTCTTTTGAGCAGTTGAAATACATAAATAAACTAAATATTGTGTTTTATTATGAGTTTTTGATAATAAATACCGAATTATTGATCGAATTTCTGTTTCTTTGATGTCAGTTTTAAGGTATTTTAATTTTGAAAATATATTAACAAGGAATTGAATTTGATTCAATGAACATTTACCATGAACGACTAAATTTTCGATTTTATTTTCCGTTAATGTATATTGAAAAGGTACATTTTGTTGAATGACATTTGAATCAATTGTCCACAAAGGTGGTTCACTAAAATCTAATGTGCATAAATTCGGTGTTAAACGTAATAATTTAATAATATGTTCGAATGTAAAATCAAAAGTTCTAATAACTAATTTTGTAAGTTGTTTTAAAGAAACCATATGATTAAGATTTGTTATAAATGAATCACCATCTGATATTTTAGAATGATTTTCAATAGTTAATCGATTAACACTTGAAAAATATCTTCGACAATTGAATTCTAAATCACTTCCAATATGAAGATGTTCGATTGAATTTAGATTTTCTTGTTGATGATGCAAACTGAATAGTTTATCTATTTCCCAATAAAACTTATAATCTTTTCTTCTAAATAAAAATAAAATAAAGAATAATCTATGATGAAAAATAAATGATTACTTTCAATGGAATGAAAATATTCTCTTTTTACAGAATGATTGTTTAAAAAAATTTTTTTTTTTTTTTTTTTTTTTTTTGTTTAAAACAATTATACAATTTGAAACTAGAAAATCTTTCTTTCAACAGTTTTTTTTTTAATCACAGAAAAATAAGATTCGACATCACTGTTCTATCCCTTTCGTATCATAGATTAATTTCTATTTACCGATATAGATCAGACGAATATATAACACCACCAAAAGATTGATCGTTCCATTCATATTGATTTACAAAAAAACTTTTATTTTTAATCCAAAAACAAGATTTAAATTCAGTAACATTATCATAACATGAAATATCATATTCTAGAAATTCTTCACAATCAATATTAAATACACGTAAATATGGCATATGATATACAATTAATTTTTGCCATCGTTGAGTATTTAAATATGCACCTGTAAAATATGTTGTTAAATGTAAAATTTGCACATGATGAAAAAACTCTTTGATAATTTTCTCAAATTCATTAAAATGTATTCCACTAGTATTAATAGAAACATGCCGTAAACATTTTAATTGAACAGGAGATAATTGATATTCGATGTGAATATCATCAAATAAATCAAGATCACAAATTGATAAATGTTGAAGTTTAGGAAGAAAACATAACAAATTATGAAATGCTTCAAATGGAAAAGGACCATTGATTATTAAATATTCTATTGAACTAGAAACATATTCAGTAAAAGAATAAAAAAATTCTGTATAATATTGTATATTATATTTAATTTTGCAATATTTTAATTTTGATAAACGAAATATTTGAGCAAAAATATTATCTATTTTCAAAATACGTTCGCCAAAAGATATAATTAATGAATGGAGATTAGATAATTTCATAAAATAATCAAAGAATTTGTAAAAACTATTACTTTCTATATGATCTATAATCAATGTTTCAAGATGAACAAAATTTAAAATCTGATCTGGTGGTGAGAAAATAATATCAGCCGCAAATGGATTTATTAAACCAAGAAAATTAATTCGATTTCGATTTAGTAGAAGAATAATTCGATAATAATCTTCGAAATTTGATTTTGATATTGTTGAAATGTTGATTTTAGTTAAAACATTTGAATTAATAGATAAATTTTGAAATCGTTTATTAAGATTATAAAAACCTTTATAAATATCATATGAATCAAGATATTCAAATATTTTATAAAGAATTTCATTGGGTAAATCTTCCAAAAGAAATCTATATGAAAATAAAGAATTATTATTTATATGATAAAAAAGAAATATATCTAACTAACTCGTTTGAATTGATCGTTTTTACTGAAACTACAAAAAAGACAAAAATTAAATATAATATATATTAATATGAAATATTACTTTGATTGTCTAATTTTCGTTTTTTATTACTATTTAAAATTTGAACTAGGTTATTGTCTTGCTGTTTCGTTCGTTTCATAATTAATATAGTTGAACAATGATGATATTGATCAAGAATGTCATTTTTCCGTCGCCCATAACTTTATATACATGTGCAACAATAAAAACAGCCTTGTTCTTTTCGACGAATATTGAACGGACAAGCTGCGCCGCCGACGATTTTGTTTTTGTTGCCTTGGGTCACATTGACGATTCGTCGTTGACATAGGATACATCTTTCTGGTGGGAAAGAAAACTGATTTTATGATAGCTACAATAGCTTTACTATGGTAATATAAGAATAAATGATTATTGAAGAGCCATCTGAACTTTATTTATATATTTCAGATGTCTTTGATATTGCAGAACATCCACATTTCTCACTCTGACCAACATTTTATAAATTCATCTCGACAAAAAATATTTTCTTCTCGAAATATTCAAATTTTGAAAAATAGAAACATTCTTACATTCTTCATGAGATATGATTCATCTTTGGATTTCTTGCACTTCAGGTAAGAAAGCTTCTCAGCTTATCTTTCACACTGACAGATCTGTTTATATTCTAAGTTAGTTTTAGTTTGAAAAACCATTATTCAGTTTGGTAAGAAATACTCCATATCATAAACTTTAGTCGCACTATAACACCTACAAATCTCAACAGTAGGTTTAAAGAAATGTATTCTTTTAAGAATTTTTATATCTCAATGAGATCTACCTGATGTACAAGATCTGAGTATAATAGTCTGAGTATCAGCTAGAATTAAAGTGTATCTCTAGGCAAAGTCAACGTTGCTACCATATTCACACTAATATCACTTTTTCCAACCTCAATATATCTAATATATGCCAAAGAACGTTATATGCTTTAGTTGCCATACAAAACAATAATAATTTTCATGATATTTTTCCTGTTAGGACTATTTTCACAACATTTTTGACGTAATGAACTTCGTAATTTTTCTTTAGTAATTAACAGATTCTATTATCACATCGTGAATTGAGAGTTAGACAATCGGAATACTTAGAATTAACATAAAAGGGTGTGGGTGTGGGTGTGGGTGGGATGTGGG